AGGTGGACATGCGGGCACACTCCTGCAACCCCAGCACTCTGAGACTGAGGGAGGAAGGACAGTTATGTCTCTTAGCAAGTTCCAGACAAGCCACAAGCCACTTGGTGAGACCTTGTCTAAAAAAAAAAAGCTTAAATCACTCCCTCATACAAAAATTAGTATGTGTTTAAGATTTTTATTTGACTCATTGCTGAGGAAACTTTTAAGCTGCACAATTAGTTCCAAAAAGAAGCCAACAGCAGACACAGTTACAGGTTGGGATGTCTGAAACCGATGGGCAAAGGCAAGGCCAAGACCACTTTTCCACAGAGGCTGTGGAGTCAAGCAAACCTCTGTGGGACATAATTTACACGTAAATAGGTACAAATTTGTTCCACCAAAGTCCCCCACTTTTCCTCCAGGGATATATTTCAAAGTCTTTCATACTGAAGCCTAAAAATATCATCTATTTTCCTATGTGTATACCTATGATAAAGGTGAGCTTATAAACTGGCCACCAAAGAGAAACCTATGAAACATTACAGTACAATAAAAGCCAGGTGAACACAGTATCTTCAAAACACAGCCATTTCCGCTAAGTATTTTCAGGCTACTGTTGACCATTAGTAATTATTATCCTATTAGCAATTGAAATCAGTATTTAAAGCAGAAGTGCAGACAAAAGCGGGAGGTTAGTGCACTATTAGTTACCTAAAACCCAGACTTGCAAAACAGCTCTTTCCATTTAGAATTAGGTAACACAATGGCGTAACGGTTATTTTAAGGACAAACACTCTCCCCCCACCCCCCACCCGACATGGATCTGTTGATTACCTTATTTCCTTATTTCTCAAACCCACTGAGTGGTAAATGCCCCATAAACACGCGCTAAATGGATGAAAGCTCACTATCTGTCAGCATTAAGTTTGGCCCTTCACACATACAATGCCACTTAATCCTCCCAATGAGCCTTTAAGTTAAACATCACTCTCATGCTACTGATAGGGACTAGGTCGTGTGACATCAAGCAGCTACTGTGTCTTAAAGATTGGGGTAAAGAGCATCGAGGATGATTTGACAGAGGAAACCCACCTACTGCTTCTCCCCTCTGTCCACGTAATGTATGCTCATTTTAATTACCATCTTTGGACTGGCTGCCCAGAGATCGAGGGGTGTTTGTGTTTAATGCTACCTTGACAGAACATGCTCCCCCAGTAAGCAAGGACCTATTTATCCTTGTTTTAAGAAAAATAAATGAACAGCATCCCTCAGCAGACAGGTAAATAATCTTGTCCATAGCCTTTCAGATTAACACAGGGTTATGTACCAGCCCAAACTGTTTTGTTTCCCCTTGGGGCACTGCTTTCCCGGTGTTCAGTATAATAGAGCTAGATCAACACAGCTTATATGTGTGGTCTGTTTTCTCAGAAATCAGGACAGCGTATAGAGGAACTGCAGCAGTCCACATTTATTGCATGCTTCCTGTGATGTGGTCCATTTTCTCATCATCACCAGGAGGGAGGTGCTGGAACTCTCTCTCTTTTGTATAAAAGTAAAGCAAACTGAGCACACGGAAATGCTCCATCTCCGGGGGCTTTGACCTACTCCTTGCAGCAGCTCCTGTCATTTCTGCTGGTTGCCCAGGCTCTTGAGGTTTGCCATGACATTACATTTGTGTTGGTCATTGTTGTTGTTTTGAGGCAGGGTCTCATGTATCCTGGGCTAGCCTGGAACTCACTAGATAGTTGAGGATAACATAGAACATCTGGTTTTCTGGTTTCTACCTCCTACATGGTGAGATTATAAGTATGTACCATCACAGTTGGTTTATGTGATGCTGGGTACCAAACCCTGGGCTTTGTATAGAACTACCTAGGCAGTCTACCCATTAAACTATGCTCTTAGCCCCGTTTTTATTTTTATATTTTTTATGAATTTCCCTTCCCTGGTTATCATCACAAACTCTAAGGGTATTGTCATTCCCAAAGCTTCTAATGTCAGGTGGCCAGCTATGGCAGACTGATACAAATTTATTACTTTCTGGTCACATGGGATTTGGAATTATTCCAGTATTGTATCCTGAGAAGAACAGAGGTCAGAGAACAAGGGAAGGGAGTGGTGTTCTGTGACTTTCAACAGGTGGTTGTCTAAAAGATGTGGACCGGATGTTAGTCTGAAATCATTCTCTCTGCTCCCCAAGTCCCCAGGTAATTCCCTGCTTTCTTTGTGTGACAGAAATAGGTTAACCTTAGAATAAAGTCAGGAGTTGTTTTTTTTTCTTTTTTCAATTCGAGGTAAGACTTTACATAAATAAGAACATAGTCTTGCAGGTAGAGGGGTTGTCCTAGTGGCATACCTACATAATTTAATTTAATTTTCACAACTCTGTGATTTTTTAAGTACTACCTGTATTTTGGAGACAAAGAAGTGAGGTTGAATAACTTGCCACAGCGAGACAGTTTAGCTTGAGCTTAGACCTGTATGGTAGTTTATTGACACCACAGGTGTTTTGTGGAGACCAAAGATATTGTCTAGAGCAGCTTGACAACTCTACAACACACACCTTATCTCATTTCAGGTCAATTAGCCAAGCACTTGGTTATTTCCTCCACTCTGAAGTCATTCACTCTGAGGGTACTGTTCCACCTCTTTGTATAAGCCTTTAGAAGACTCATCTGGCTCTTGAGGGCATGTTATAATTCTCAACATAGCCGGGTGGTGGTAGCACATACCTTTAATCCCAGCACTTTGGAGGCAGAGGCAGAGGCAGGAGGTTTTCTGTGAGTTTGAGGCCAGCTTGGTCTACAAAGTGAATTCCAGGACAGCCAGGGCTACACAGCAAAACCCTGTCACAAATTCCCCCAACACACACACACACACACACACACACACACACACACACACACACACACACACACACACACACTGTGATACCACTGCTCCCAAGTAAGATTTTGAGAAGGTTTTGCCACTACCATCAATCAGGAGATAGAGTAGATCAATAGACCCTCTGTGGGCTTTTGTTGTATATAAACTTTAGACAGTATCCAGAAAGTGAAATGTAGATATGTCAAGGCTATGCACCCTCACTACTGTTAGGGTTCTAGGAATTTCATTCTAAAGGGCCATCATCACTAGTTGGCAGCGGAGGATACAGAAAATGACCCTTTTGGAGTTAGAAATTCACTCTTTTGTTAAATCAGCTTGAGTTACACCTGAACATGTTTACTGTATAGTTACCCACCACTTACACAGCAAGACTCTAAATTTATCCATCTGTATATCAAAAAAAAATCTTGAGTGGCTAAAACTCTGTTTCCATAATAACCTTCCTTACTGAATTTCATATGTAAGACAGCCATGAAGGGAGATGTTCTTGGTGACACCTTGCCCTCAATCTGGCATACCCCCTCCTTACTTCTCTAGGATTCAAGGGTGCCATTGCCTGCACTATGAGAACCCCCAGGCAAATTGTATGTAGGGAGGTAGAAGATCTGTTCCAGACAGCAGAATTGCATGGGAGAACTGAACGTCAAGGGAAGTATATTTTCCCTCAGGCATCCCCTCCCAAAGTAATAGAAGTGATCAGACTGAGAGAGACTAACATTTCTCAAAGTAGAACATGGATTTGGGAAAAGGTGTGCTGTCCAGGGTGCTTGGTAATCACCCGGGAAGCAATGTTTTCAACGAGGGGTTCAGCTTTCTATTAAGGGAAAGGAAGGTTCTAGATCAGACTCCTCATTCTCAAGCATCCCTTCCCATAGAGTAGTGAGTGCTCCGAAGTCCTGTCTGTCCATGCATAGCTGAGAACGGGGTCAGGAGGAGAGCTGTCAATGTGCAGATGGAATCTTGGCACAGGTCAAGTCCAGATATGGTCCTCCTTTATTGGGAGACGTCATTCTGTGAAAATGTGTCTGACTGGTTTGAATAAAGCACTGTTGGCCAAAAGGGAAGCAAGACAGGTGGGACTAGGAGTCGAGGAGGATTCTGGGAAAGAGAAACAGGCAGACACAATGTAGGCCGGCAGAGGAGTAAGAGGTCCGGACCCTTTTCTCCGGGTTAGAGAAATTCTTAGATTATCAATTATGGGTTAAATACTTGAGTCGGAGCTAGCCAGTAAGAAATCAAGCAAACGGCCAATGGCTTCGTAATTAATATAGTGTCTTGTGTATTATTTGGGGACTGCAACTATGGCAGGGCCCGAGTGCCTGGCAAGGAAGACAACATGTGACACTCCTTACTCTACTGGGAGGCTGGAAGGTGAGGATGGGACTTTGTCACCCATGCCATCCCCTGCTGAGAGAAGTGATTGAAAAGGCCTTCTAGAACATCCTACCACCCTGCTTTTCTGATTCCAAATACTGCTTTATCACCTCAGTGGAATTCTTTAATACCATCAATGGAAAAGTAGTTTGACTATGTGACTTAAATATTTTCATCTCAGTGACAGTAAGGAGTACAACATCACTTCAGAAACTTAAGACAACCTCGGGTGTGGACAAAGCAGAGTGTGCCTCATGGCTGTGTGATTGACAGGACAGGACTGGTTTGGCAGGGAAAGTGACTTTCCACTATTGATTCTTCTACATCATTAGTTGCACATGTGTAGCTAATCAATCAGAAAAGTCAATAGGCTTGATTTAATGAAGGGGGTGGGGAGGAAAGCTTCTTCCATGTAGAAAGTCTTCATCTTCACAAAATCCCCACACCAGTCCTAAAACCAAGTTGATAGGAATGATTTCTCTTCTTTTCCCTGGATGCATTCTTGTTTACTCTAGAACCCGCCACTTCCCACCCCATATGCTTGCATTAGATATTAATAATCTACTTTCCTTTACAAACCACCCGACTCGCTCAGTATCATGGCTCCTCTGTTCTAGAGTTTATTGCCTGCTCTGGGGTCAACTTACAGCAGGAAACTTCAGCAGGAAGATAGTGTTTTGCTGTATGGGCATGGGGAAAAGTTCTCATGATGGGAAGAGGAGGGGAAGAGGGAGAGTCTTGGATACTGCAGACTTTACCAGTTATGTCATGTTGTTTGAATGACTCACTGTAGATCTGATACTGATTCGGACAATGTTTCTTCAACCACTTGCAGACATCCTGCTGGGTCCATAGGGCCACTGGTTTTGACAGCTTCACCGTAGACTGTGGAGAAAGAAGCAAAGGAGAGTCTGTTAATGGGGCCCCATGCCTGGAAAGGCACTAATGTTCAACATCCTAGCATGCTTGGTAAAGGCTATAGCGTGAATTCCCTTAAGAGAAATATGGAGCTCTTTTTTTCCTTCTAACACCTGCAACCTTCCTCAGCATTAAAAACACAGAGACAGGCACACAGACATAGACACAGACACAGACACACACACACACACACACACACACACACACACGCACGCACGCATGCACACACACCGGAAGGTGCGAGAGGAAAAGGCAATGGAAATTTGACCCATTCTTGAGTTATCTCTACTGGGAAACCTCCTAGAAAGTAGTATTTTATATATTCTAGCAACAAGATAATAGGGTTTCTTTGCAGGTGCTTAAGTTTGGGGGTAAAATAGCCACTGTCAAGTGCCTTTCTGCTTGCTGGAGGTATCTCTTTCTCCTCCCTACCATCCCTGTTGCCTATTACAGCCCTTGCCCCAGCAGGTGAGAATACTTATTTCAGGACTGAATGTTAGAAGACTTAGATACCAGCATACTAAAAAGTTCTAGTCTGCCTGGGGGCTCTGGACTCAGGGTGGTCCCATGAAGCCTGGGAACATTAGTCATGCCACAGTGGGAAAGCAAGGAGTCAATTCTGCCAGCATGTGGGGAAGGTAATAAGATAATGAGAGTCCTTAGGCTTTATATAGAAGTCAGCCAGTCAAGGACTTCTACTACTCACTGGATCTCTGATCATAAGTAATGAAAATTAAAAATAAAAAAGTGAAAAATCAAACCCAGGATGTGAAAGATCCAGCCTTTGATAAATGGGTGATTGCAAATACATTTATTAATAAGTGTTGGCTTTGTCTTTTCCCTCATGGATTCCAGGAACTGAGGTTAAGCTAGCTGAAAGTTTCTACATCAATGATTTTATTGTTATCATTCTGAACCAGTATCTGCCAAAAGAAGAGGGCTGAAATATTGAGAATTCTTTAAGATATTTTCATTGGTTCAGAGATCTAGGCATTTTATTTTATTCCTCTTTCAACCTGTTAGATTACGGCAAGGAGAAGACCTTAAGTTGGCAGGAATGTGAATGATATCTTCCAAACATTTGTGAAAATTTTATTTTACAGAGAAAGACTTGTTTCAGTTTTAGAACTTTTAACAGAAAGCAATAAGTCTAGCCTGCAGTTTTTTCTTTGTTTACTTACTATTACCATTAGTTATGGTGAAGAAATTATGATACAAGATGTATTTTCTAGTTTGTAATACCTACTTCGCTTTTGAGTAATATTTAATTACCCCAAGTTCCAATTTTAAGAAAAAAGTATTGAGAGAATGGTACAGATAGTGAGATGTTCACCAAGAGACAGGGAGGGGAGAGGGAAAATGCAAATCTTCAGGTAGCACTTTTTATTAATATGTTTCTAATTGAATGATTCCTTGGGCCATCACATACAAAATAATTACAAATAATGCTGTCACTCTCTACTTTGTGGTGGTTTCAATGTGAATGGCTCCCATAGGCTTCTTTATTTCAATACTTGGTACAAGTATTTGGGTTACGAGGTATAGCCTTGTTGGAGGAGGTATGACTGGGATTCTCAAGGTTCCAAATTAACTCTCAACTCATTACTTGGAATGGTGGTAGTTTGATATGCAACTCTGGTATCAAGAAAAGCAGCTTCTCTATCTCTTGTGTTCCCCGGAGTGTCTTGCATGTAACAGGACAGATGGTGGCAGGTAGGGGCAAAAAAAAAAAAAAGCAACTGAACGAGTTAACGAACTAAGATGATTTTCATTCAACCAGTATTCTTCAGCAGAACTCACTAGTCAGCAGTAGGCATCAGGTCCAGTCTTGGCTGCTCTTTCCTGTGGTTTACTGAGCTCATATGGTTCCTAATCAAATATGGCCACCTCTGCCTACCACCCTTCAGCCCCATCTAAGGAGGCAGCCATTTTCTTCTTGTTTGAAATCATATGGGCTGTTTTCCTAATCCTGATGAGGGAGGAGAATTTTGGTCTTGAAGAATTCAAGTGAACACACATTTTTGTAGCTGCTGCTGTTTTGATGATAATGTAGAATTTTTTTTCTTTTGCCCATCCTGACATCCTTTCCTTCTGTGTGATCAAAAAACAAGAATTCCAGAGCTTTTAGGTAGAAGTGACATGTTTCACAAGTCAGCACCTCTGAATCTGGCTCTTTCCTACTCTAAAACTTTCCCCTCAGATGAGCTGAATGAGTTTGGAGCTGACACATCATTACCCTGGAACTCCTGCAAGTTTCTTTCGAGTAAAGCTAATCAGATTTTTTGAAGACTCCTATAAACCAGTCAGAGAAGACTGTAAATTAGGACAGGGAAGACAGGAGGATGAAGCTGCTTATACATCAATACATTAAACTTCCTAATCCAGAAAGGTCATCCTTTAAATTGCTCATTTCCTAAGGAACTCAGGACTTGAGTCCATCACCTGGGCTTCAGATGATGATTTAGCCAAACTTGTCAAGTCGACTCAGAGTGAATCCTCACCATCCTATCATGGATGCTTTTCTTAGATATTTTCCTTTTCACCAGAAACTCAGCGGTTCGAAAGCTAACACTCACTTTTCCTTCTGAATATATTCTATTCTAATTATGAATTTGGAGATATCTATTTAAAACAAGTAAACTCAAGCTTCAGAATGTATGTACTCACAAGAATATTCCCCCAGGTAAACGTGACAAATGGAATGGGAGATGAGGTTGAGTTCCTACCACTAAAATTCACTGTTTAATATCTCTCTAACCAATTGTGATTAAAAGTCATTATTTACCAGCTAACTCTTAACCATGGTTGCATTATTAAATTGTTATTAGTCTGCTACACATTAGCTTGTTAAGGGGTAGCATTAATGAGTCGTAATGACAATCCCCCAGTCTACGCTAGTTTTTACATTTATTTTTCCTCTTTCGTAACTCCAAGATGATCCTCAGTCATAGTGCCTTGTAGCAGCATCCCATTAACTCCATCCCAACCTCAATCAAGTTTTGAGAGTGAATCCATAACCTGATGTCCTTGAAGAGCTTACACTTTACTCCGCTGTATGACTGGAACAATAGGCTAAATCCAGCCCCGTGCATAGAATTGGCATATTGCCCTTTCCAGAAGGTAAGAGCAGGAGGTGCATAGGTGTCACATCCTTGAGCTGCCTCCCTTTTCTCTGCCTTCCAGTGTTCACCCTCCTCTTTGTATCTATCGCTAGATGATCATTTTCTCATTTCTAAAATAGCTGCCAGGTCTTCCTTTTTCCCTCACAGTAGGAGACTAAACCCAAATAATAATAGTCCGAACCACTGAGATAAAGCATTTCATATTTGCTAGGAACAGTAAACTAATAGAAAAGAAAACCCTGCCCAAGGGCAAACATTAAAAAAACATTTACCCCAGTTTTCTTTCTGCAAGATCGGTTTTACCACACCATTCCTCGATTTACAGCCCCAGAGACAATTTTGGTTTGTTTTGCTGCCCTGAAAGAGACCTGAGGCAGTTTACTATCTTAACCTCTGTGCACTGTGACATGAAGCAGGATTCCAGACATTTCCTTTCTGAACGAATCCTGATCTTTACATTGACAAAATGAACATGCATTTCAGACACTTTTACTTTCTCTTTTATGGGGAGACTTTATGCAAGACTCATAGCCTGAGGGAAAGGTTGCTTGCAAAAAATATGACTAGTTTTGCAAATGATTTTTAATTTTAATTTGTCCATATGCAATAATTTTAGCTGAGTTTTATAGTAATTTGTGCTTAGCCAGAAAGTAGTTTTGTGCAGTAAATTTTGAGCTTTCCAAGGTAAAGATGATGCTTTTCTGGTAATTAAATGCTTGAAATAATTAAATGCTTGAAAGAAATTTAGTATTGAAAGAACATATTGAAAAGTGCATTTAAAGCCGAATTTTATTTTTTAACCTAATTATTCTTCCCCTCTCTCCTTTGCAATACAAATTCTCTCTTAATTTACTTAATTTTGAGTTATAAGACAACACTGTGATTGCAAGTATGTAAATACTGTGTAAAGTCTCTACTGGATAAGTTTGTATGAGTCCTAAGTGGTTGACTGAGAAAAATCAGAGAGCTTAGCTTTTTTAATGGTCATTGGTGGAGCAAAAAGAGACTCATAGACAACTATTAGAAAGTGGTAATGTGACTTCAGCATCTCCTTTTATGTCAAGTCAGCAAGCTATAGGAGCGTCCTGTTTTTACTTTCTTTTAATGCCCTGTCTTTGTTACTAGTCTATTTCTGTGATAAGCCACTAAGATCAAGGCAACTTAGAGGAGAAAGAGTTTACTTGAGGTTCACCATTTCAAAGGGAGAGTTCATGACTATTACGTTGGGAAACAGGACAGCAAGCAGGTATACATGCTGCTGGAGTAGCACCTGGGAGCTTACATCTTGTGACATGACCATGAGACAGACAATGGTTAAAGTGTGGGATCTCAACACCTTAGAACCTTCCCCAATGACACACCTCCTCCAACAAGGCCACACCTCCCAGTCCCTCCAAAACAGTTCCGTCAACAGGGGACCAAGGATTCAAATACATAGGGGGCCATTCTTATTCAAACCATCACATACCCTCCCTTTAGTTCCCTGTCCTCTTTTGCTGACATTCTGTGTCATCACAATTAAGACTGCAGAAAGAAGAGGAGCGGTGAGAAACACACATATACACACGTTTATATACAATAGACTGTCCGTGACTACTTTGGTGGCTCTAAATGATCATCCATTCACAAAAAAGTCTCTAAACATCAAAAAGAAATGTGATAGTTTACAAAATACTCAACACTTGAACTAACCTTTTAACAACAATAATGCCCACTTTAACTCTTTCATGGAAAGAGGTACATAGGAAATTGTGAAGAGGTTCCTTAACTATTATATTCAGTTGGCAGTCTATGATACTTACTATTATTTTGTGGTGTGTGTGTGTGTGTGTGTGTGTGTGTGTG